TGGCTTATTAGCTTTAACTCTGTTTTATTTTTTTCTTAGAGATTGCTTGAGGTCAGTGGTTCAAAAACTTTTTGGTCTTACAATCTCTTTATACTCAACCAACTTCATGTCAAGGACTTCAACAGCTTTAGTTTAAATGGATTACATCTCTTGATATTTATTATATCAGAAATTTTAAAATTAAAAATATTAATTTTTTATTTTATTTTATTTATTTGTTTATTTATTTTTTCTATCCTCACCCGAGGACATTTTTTCATTTTTTGTTCAGATAGAGTGGGAGAGGGAGAGAGAGAGAGAGAGAAACATCGACGTGAAAGGGACACATCGAGTGGCTGCCACCCGCACGACCCAACCAGGGCCGGGGACAAACTGCAACTGAGGTACGTGCCCTTAGCGGGAACCGAACCTGGGTCTCTCTGGACCGCAGGCCAATGCTCTAACCGCTGAGCCAAGCCGGCCAGAGCAAAAATATTAATTTATTAAAAATTAACCATAAAAACATTGTTTGGTAATATAAATAACATGTTTTATTTTAAAAATCTGTTCTCTGAAACAAACAAAAATAATAGTGAGAAGAGGGACATTGTTTTAATTTTTAGCTGTTTTTTAATTTCTATCTTAGTGGATGAGTTCTACACCCAGTTTGTTGTGATATATATGTCACTTCTGGAAAACTCTATTGTAAATTTCTAAGAGAATGAGAGTGAAACAGGCAAAGTATTTACTATGAAAAGAGTTTTCACCTTGTCACCCCTGAGAAGGTTTCAGACAAGCCCATGAATTCCCACATCACATCTTGAAAACTGCTGTTCTAAAGTTTACAATATTCCTTTAAACTTATTGCAGTATATGTTTAAATTACATTTTTCCATTTATTTATAAACTAAGACCCTTACAATAGTACATTACACTTTGGCCCTACCATCATTTGTGTTATTGTTACCATATAATTTACTTCTATTTTTTAAACTCCACCATAAATTTTTATTATTTTTACTTTAAACAACCATCTTTTAAAGCAATTTGAAAGTTTAAAAACATTTATATTAGAACACATTCTTACCATTTCTGACACTTCATTTTTTGGTTTAGATCCAAGTTTCCATCTGGTATTATTTCCTTTTACCTGAAGAATTTCCTTTAACAATTCTTTTAGAAAAGTTTGGCTGCTGATGACTTCTCTTGGCTTTTGTTTTTATGAAAAAAAAAAAAAGTTATTTCACCTTCACCTTTGAAGGATCTTTTCACCAGATACCGAATTCTATCTTCCAGCATTTAAATATGTTGTTTGCCTCCTGGCTTGCATAGTTTCTGATAAGAATTCTGCACTAATTTTTATGTTTCTTTCTAGCTATGATGTCTCTTTAATTCTGAAGTAAAGCTTTTCTCTTTATTGTGGATTTTTAGCAATTTGACTCTGATGAGTTTTGAGGTGATGGTAGTGGCAATGTGTGTGTGTGTGCGTGCGCATATGGGTGTGTATTTATCCTCTTGAGTGGTGTGGAGCGTCTTAGACCTATGGATTTATAGCTTTCATTAAATTTGGCAAATATAGAGCCATTATTTGTTCAAAAGTTTTGTTTTCCTCCCTTCTCTTTTAGACACTCCAAGTACATGATGTTAGATCATATGATACTGTATCATAGATTACTGAGGCTCTTTTATTTATTTATTTTTTTAGTTAAAAACGTTTGCTTTAGCTTGGTTAGTTTGGAGATCACTAAACTTTACTTCTCTTGTGTCTAATATGCTGTTAATCTCATTTAGTGAAATTATGCAAGTATATATTGTTAAGTATATATTGTATATTTTATCCATAAATTCCATTTGGCTCTTTTTTTTTTTTTTTAAATCTTCCACGTCTCTATTATGTCCTTGTTCTCCTTTAAATGCTTGTACATAGTTTGCTGGTTGCCATTACATTATTGCTATTTGTAGGCTTGTTTCTCCTGACTGAGTTTTCTCCTGATTAAGGAGAAATGTCTGCTTCTTGGCAGTCTTGAAGTTTTCGATCAGATGCCGGACATTGTTAGATTATATATTTGAGTGTCTTGAAGTTGTCAGGCAGTTTAATTATGTGTGGAATAGTTTGAACACTTTGAGGTCTCTTTTTAAGCTCTGCTAGAGTGAATTTTCAATACCTGCATTCTAGAAATAGTTGAGACCCCTCTTGGGGTTCTCCATGGAATGTGCCAGGTGATTAGCAAGAACTCTCCACTCTGGTGCAAGTTCAAAATGTCTCTCCACTGTCTGTGAGCTCTAGAAACTCTTTCGCTGACAATCCTGCCATTGTTCCTTGCTAAGGTCTGTGGAAGGCCCCTTGATGTATGAGCAGCCTATCACTCAGCAAAGACTCCAGCAGACCCCTACGTAGATTTATGGAGCTCTTTTTCTGCGTGGCTTGCTTTATTCCAGAATCCTGCTTCACAGCTTCCAGCTGTTCAGTGCCCCAAATTCTGAACTCAACTCACAAATGCTGCCAGGCTCTGTTCCGTTTTCATCTGCTTTTTTCATCAGAGGGCTCGCCTTATTTATACTGTTTGTCCAGTATCTGAAAACAATTTCATATATTTTTTCTAGTATTTTAGATGAAAGAGACTAGGTTTAGTTTTCCTTTCTCTATCCTGGTTGGAGGCAGAGTCTACGTTGAGTTTTTGACTATTCCTTAGGCCATGCCACTCTCAATATTTTGGATCAGTAGTGACCACAAATAGAAGACATTGCTGTGCTGTTGTCTTTTATTCAGTCTTGCTGAGTGGCGTGCAAGATGGCTGGCTGAATCCAGAACCTCAGGGTGGCTGCGGAATATGTCTCCGTGAGAAACTTACTGCCATGTACAAAGACCTCTACATCTGCGAACTTTAAACAACTGAGCTGTATGCATCAGATTCCAGATTCTAAATTATACCCCCCCCCCTAGTTAAAATAAATTTCATGGATACCTTTGTACAGGGACTTATTTTCTCAATTCATGTCTTCTGTGGCTTATAACCTCTGCATCTTCACACATCACCCTGTGGAGAGATGGCCATGGTTCAATATTTGACACATAGGTCCTTAAGATTTCAACATAATAGGTGTTGGGTAAACACGTGGTAATTCTACCCTTGGAGATCCTTGGTTGAAGAATCAAATGAAACATTAGCTTTTAGATCCATTATTGTCAAGAATTAAGAACAGCCATGTGAAACTTTCTGCTGAAAGAAGACTGACTGGATTTGACTTGGGGAAGAGGTTGGAACTAAGAGTAGCCTAAGGTTTACTGTGAGGAGGACCCTAAGGTCTCAAGTTATTTTGAATTTGCTGTTTAAACTTAAACTTAAGTGAAGAATTGCAAGTAGGCCCAGCCAGTGTGACTCAGTGGACTGAGTATCATCTAATGGATTAAGAAGTCCCGGTTCGATTCCAGGTCAGGGCACATGGGTTGTGGGCTCAATTCCTGGTGGAGGTCATGCAGGATGATGTATCTCTCTCACATCAATGTTTCTATCTCTCTCTCCTTCTAAAGAATCAATAAAAGCATATTTTAAAATAAACAAATAAATAAAAAAGAACTGTAAGAGGTTAATAAGGTTTCTGTTTTACCATCATACTCTGAGCGTGGCCAGTATAGGTGCTTGGGGGCTAAGGGAAGGAAGAATTGAGGAAAAAGCAGACACTTAAGATCAGGTGGACACCTCACTGGCAATGGGCAGCTATTTCATCACATGTGCTCTGAGTGGATTTTTATTTGACAAAAATTTTACAAATAGATGATTTTGTGGTTTGGATATCAAAGGCTTCAAGACATAGCTATTTAAATAACTAAAAGATTTTTTTATTCTGAGCAGGCTATGGAATTAGATCTGATTTGATTTTTCCCTTTCAGTAAATGGGTCCATAGAGATTAACCCCCAAACAGAATATTTAGATGCTGACTATATGTCATAGTCTATGGCAAACTTGGCTTTCTGGAGTAATAGACTAAAATTTTAAGACAATAAAATAACTGGTAAAAAAGACAAAGTAGATCTGTATTTCCACCTGGAGAAGTCCAAAATACATATTTTTTAAAATGCATGTTCTAGAATAATACAATTATTAAGATAATTTATTTTTTGTATTAAAAATTTCTGCATATGCATAAATGGTATATGTATGTATGTTTAAAAATAACACATATGTTGTTATATAAATAAGAAAAATCTGGAGAGGTACAACTATTAATGATTTACAGTGTCTACTTCTGAGTTCAGTTTTTGGGGAGAGAATGGATATTTATCTTTCATTTTATATATTCCTCTGTATTAGTCATTTTAGAAGCTGACATTTATTGAGCGTTGACTATGTGTCCGGAACTGTGCTAAGCATTCCCCGTACTTAGCATTGCCTTACTCAAGCTCACACCCCAGCGGCTGCCCTAGACTGTCGGTGTTGGAATTGCGTCCAGGTGCCAAGTTGCCAGGAAGGGGATCTGGTTACTTGCCTTGAGCTATGTTTGCCTACCAGCCACACCACTGTAACCCAAATTGTGTGTTTATTTAGGATAACTTGGTTGGGGGGATGCTGCCAAGCAACCCCTTGCTGCTCCTACTGCTCATAACAATCCAAAGAAGTGAGTACTATTATTCCCAATTTATAGATGAGGAAACTGAGGCACAGAGAAGTTAAGTAATTTGCACAATGTCACATCGCTAGTAAACAGCAGAGCCAAGATTTGAACTCCTATCTGTTAAAATGCATAGTTCAGGCTCTTAATTTGAATTTGCTGTAAGACAATATCACTTGTAATTTAAAAAGTAGTTAAAAATTCAAATAACCACTCTAAAAGTATGATTTATAATACATTCGGAGATATAGAAATGAAAAAACTTTGAATGTATCATCACTGGTAAAACAAGTATGTACTAGGGAGCACTGCTACTAATACTAAGTCAGATGTAGCCTTTTATTTGTAAGTTTTCACCAAAGATTGAATTGTGTGATGGTCTAGTTTTATCTTTTTTTCTCCCTTTTAAACAGGAGAGATCAACAAGTAGTATTTGAGCATCATGGAGTTTTTAGGTTCTACTTTAACGGCAACTAATGTCCACCCAAGAGCAACACCAACCAACTTCCTACCAGCCATCAGTACCATGGCATCAAGCTATAGGGACCACTTCCCCCACTACAATTTGACCCATAGCTTGAGCCTTCCTTGGAGACCAAGCACATACTACAAAGTGGCCTCCAACTTGCCGAGCTTGGGCCCCTACTGCACCAGATCTCAGAGGGTGTCGGAGAGCACCATGCTCCCCTTTGTTTCCAACAGAACCACTCTCTTCACACGGTACACTCCTGATGATTGGTATAGGTCCAATTTAACCAACTATCAAGAATCCAACACGTCCCGACATAATTCAGAGAGACTGAGGGTAGATACATCTCGCCTGATTCAAGACAAATATCAACAAACAAGAAAAACTCAGGCAGACGCCACCCAAAATTTGGGAGAACGAGTCAATGACATAGGATTTTGGAAATCTGAAATCATTCATGAGTTAGATGCAATGATTGGAGAGACAAATGAACTGACTGATCTTAAGAAAAAATTGGAGAGAGCTTTGATGGAGTCAGAAGCCCCTCTTCAGGTAAATATAAGACCTTATGATAAATGGCACTGTGCTGCTATGGTTATACTCCACTGGTTGGATTTCTGAGGTTCTTTATCAGTTGAGTTATATTTTATTTCACCTGTATAAATCAACCTCCATCAATAAATTTGCAACTGGTGTCAGCAATGGTCAAACAACTGCCATTTTTACACATTATATAGAACGACCATTTAAGCAGAAAGAATTCTGAATGCAAAGCAAAGGAGGTTAATTAAAGAGACACCTTAGGACACACAATGTATTTAAGATGAAATTTCATCTTGCCCACTGCCGTACCTGGATTAACATAAACAATATTTGTAAAAAGAGCACAAAAACCAACTATTTGTTTAGTCTGTGTCATGAAATACTTCCTGTGCGTATGCTATGATTCAATTTCAGGGCACATTGAAATGACCAAATGACACCTTCGTAGGAGATGGAATGAGTTTGGTTGAGTAGAGAAATGGGACTGAGGTTAAGCCCATTGCGGTCATGGAGGCCACACTGCAGTTGGTTGCTGGCCTCTGACCAGACTGCTGAGTGGGCACAAATTGCCTCCAATTTTCTGAATGTGTGAGGGCCCTCTAACCTCGTTCTATCCACCACCTTGAAAGAAGATGTTCTCTCTCTCTCTCTCTCTGTCTCTCTCTCTGTGTGTGTGTGTATGAGCAGAGCTCATACCATTTTCTTCATGTTTGTGTGACTTACTTGCCAAGTGATATGCATTTGCTATAGGCATTTATTATTACAACTGTAGCAGCAGAGTACAGAATCAAGGAGCTGACGTCTAGTGGGTTGAGGAGTTTGTTGGAGACCCCTGCACACTGTTAGTTCTTTTCATGCCCCCTCCCTACTAAAAATGAGCATGCAGAAACACATGCAACCACCAGGTATTTTAAGAGAGGTTGATAGACACTAATGATGCCATTTTAATGAATTTTTAAACAATAATTTTCTTTATTGATTTTAGAGAGAGAAAAAGGGAAAAGGAGAGAGAGATAGAAATATCAATGAGAGAAACTATCAATTGGCAGCCTCCTGCATGTCTCCCACTGGGGATTGAACCCACAACCTGGGCATGTGCCCAGACCAGGAATTGAACTGGCACCCTCCTGATGCATGGGTCAACGCTCAACCACTGAGCCACGCTGGCTGGACTAATGATGCCATTTTAAATGAACTCATCATAAATTGTTTTGTAGGATTAGAAGCACTTCGAATTTTCTCTGTGCTCCAGTCATTTTGAGGATTTCTGGTCTATTCTACACCCCACCCCATCCATCCCCCACTTACTTTAAATTATCCTGAAAAGTGCTCCTTTAGGTGGTGATTGCTTTCAGTGAGATGGTTCTAATTTGAATTTTTTAATGTAACTTTTGTCCATATGTTCTTGTGTGTTTAAACATTTACTATCAACATAGTATCAGAAGGTCTTGATTAGTCACATAAACAGTCTTAAAAAAGAAAATACAGATGATCAACTCATATGTAAAAATATTAGAAATTAACCAAAATGCAAATTAAATCAATGAAGTAACCATCTTTGGCCTATCAAATTAACAACAACAACAAAAAGATACATATAGGATTGACAAAAGTGCAGAAAATGAACACATTCATATATTGCTGATAGGACTGTGGAGAAGTAGGAACTTCCTGGGAAATGATTTAGTAACACACGTTAAAATCATCAGAGGGCCTGTCGACCCATTAATCATCTTCTAGTAAATGTAATTGTACAATTAAAAAATTAAATATTCACTCGAAGATTTTGTTTGATGATATTATATCTGGATTATAATATGCATACTATTATATCTTAAATTTTTAAAAAATTTAGCACTATATACTCATCCCAAATCATGAAATAGTCTTTGAAAAAGTATTTTTAACAATTACATGTTCTTTCATACTTAACTGATTGTTAGCAATCTAAGCTGTTTTCCATTGGTGTCATTGATATACTGTGTCTCAAAGAATATTTCATGAACAGGGCCTATTATTTAATGTCAACCCTAAAAAGTATAATATAAAATTATAAGAACATTATAATCTCTGTTTTGTTAAAAACAGTGATAGGAGTATGGCTAAATCATCTTCCATTTTTCCAGATTATTTTTCTTTAATGGATAAAGCAATTTTATTTTTATAATTGGTACTTTAAAAATAATCACTAGAATTTTGTGACACAATTATTTTAGTGTCTTTCAAGATAATCATTTGTTTTTTTTTCTTACTCTTATCAGTAGAAAATATTTGAAAGTAATAGCTTGAAGACTCGGGTTATTGAAATATTTCTGTACAAGAAATTAATGTCACATAATTTTCTCAGATGCTAATTTGCAGAGATTAAGTAGATGCCATCTGCTTCATTTTGTCGTCTGTCCAAATTAGAAACATTTTTTAAACAACTTTGAAGAGCTAACTCTAACTTCTAACTAGAAGTAGGGATTTACTTAGTTGTAATGGTTGGTTTCACACTTTATTTTCAACAAAATGTCTTAAAAAGTTGGCGTTGGGAGTATTTGTTGACTTGTTTTAGAAATAGGTTATTAGACATTCTGGTCACTGATTTTAGTTAGTTTATACCAATGGTTTTCATTATTTGTATATCTGTAGGTAGCTCGAGAATGTCTGTTTCATCGAGAGAAGAGAATGGGCATTGACCTAGTTCACGATGAGGTAGAAAAAGAACTGCTGACGGTAAATATGGGGAAATGCTTCAACCAGAAACTTAGTTGCCAATGTGTTAATGTATAGAAACAAAAATTATGTTACACAAAGCCACTCATAATTAAGAAGTTATAGTATCAAGTATTTTTAACATTTAGAAAAGCTACTTTTTTTGGTTATAAAAGTAATAGACGTTTATTTAGAAAATTTGAAAGACACAGAAAAGGATAAAAATAAAAATCACCTGAATCTCACTTGCACAGAAATTACTATTAATTTAGGGGTATTTAAGTATTTTTTATTAATCATACTTAGATAGATACCACCCAACTTAAAAACACACAGACATGTCTTCAGGATTAGAATTATACACTATATATAAATTTGAGTAGTGCTGGGGTATTTTGTTATTGTTGTTTGCTGGATCAGTGCTCAGTGTTGATTATTCTTAAACACACATGTGCGAAGGCAGCACTGTTTTTAAAACTACATTATTTTTAGCAGTTTTAGGCTCACAGCAAAGTTAAAAGGAAGGCACACGCATAATATCCTTCGTTTTCAATACCCCTCCAACAGAATGGTACATTTGTTACAATTGATAAATCTCTATTAATACATCACAATCATCACCAGCATACATAGTTTACCTTGGAGTTCACTCTTGTTGTGAATTCTATGGGTTTGGACAAAGGTACAATGACATGTACCCACCATTATGGAATCCTACAGAGTACAGTCGGCCCTCGTTTATCACGGTTAATCAGTTCCAGACTCTACCGCCATCAATGAATTTCCGCGATGGAGGATTCTTATTTACACTACTAGTACAGAATTTGAAAAAAAACGCGCTAGAGTGAAGCCGGGAAAGTCTAAGCGCGAAGTGGCGAGGGACGCCTGTATTTTCACTACCCTAACAATCCTCTGTACTCTGCCTATTCACTCCCTGCAACCCCAACAGTGATCTATTCATTTAAAAATGCCCTGGCCTGTTTGGCTCAGCAGTTAGAGCATTGGCCCATGGACCAAAGACTCTCAGGTTCGATTCTGGTCAAGGGCACATACCTCGGTTGTGGTTTGATCCCCAGCCCCTGTTGGGGTCGTGTGGGAGGCATCCCATCAGTGTGTCTCTCTCACATTGATGTTTCTCTCTCTCCCTCCCTCCTTCCCTTCCACTCTATCTGAAAATCAATGGAAAAATATCCTCAGGTGAGGATTACATTAATTAATTAATTAATTAATCAATTAATTTTTTAAAAGTATACTGGTGGTTATTTCCATCATTTTATATGCTTTAAGACATGATTTTAATGATTACATAGTGATCCACTATCATTCTCAAAAAAAACAATCCTCTCTTTTTGCATAGTTAGGTTGTTTCCCTGTCTTCTTCTTTTTTTTTTTTTTTTTTGCTATTTTAATAACATTGTAGTGTACAGAAATATTGATGACTGTATGTATTTTTATTATTTCCTCAGAATACATTTCAAATACTATAATTGATATGTCAAAGGGTATAGGCAGTTAGAAAGCTTTTAATATATAGCCACATTGCCATCCAGGATCTTTTAGTTATATCTGCTCTCCTATCTGATTCTCTCTCTATGTGCTCTCTGCCACTTTCACCAATTAAATATGATTTAGTTCCAAGTTTTCTGACCATCACTTCCGAGACTCGCCACAAGATCTCGGCCATTCCAGCCATTCCTTAAGATTTCAGTCAAGTGCCTAGGGCCCTTCCTAATCTCTCTCTCTCTCTCTCTATCTATCTATCTATCTATCTCTCTCTCTCTCCCTCCCTCCAGCTGTATCTGCTATGAGGCATTAGTTCTGCATCCCGATGTACCTGTCAAACAATTTACACTGGTAACTCTTTTTTGGTTCACATTCATGAAGCCTAAAAGTGAACTTTCCTTCTGTCCTGACGCTTTCTCCTTTCTCTTGGCCCCCAGGGCTCCCTGGTTGCCACGGCATGTCTTGCTGCCCTCGTCTTTTCCACCTCGGTACTTATTTTCCAGCCCCCATACATTGTTCCCTGATTTGTTTCTCAGCTCTCTCTTTTGCGTTTCATTCTCCCTACCATTGTTCTAAGTCATTCTCTCCTCCTTCATTGCTGGTGAATGTAAAATCCCCAAATACCTTGTTGTCACTGATCCTGAGATGTTCTCTCTGTAGTCAACTATGAGCCACTCCTAACGGTTCAGCTCCATCCGTTTGCCCACAAACACACTGTGGCATTCCCAAGACATTTTATTGGCAACTTGGCTACTTTACTGTTTCTGTTATTCTAGCTCTCAAACCTGTACCCAATGAAGGCTCTTAATATATCAGCAGTCAGGTTCCACTTGTAGAGATTCTGATTCAAATCTGGAGTGGGGACTAGGCATTGATTTTTAAGAATGTTCCCCAAATAATTTTTATTCACAGACAGAGTTAAGAACCACTTCGTTATAACTACAAAATATTGATAGAAATTAATGGTTATCTAAATAAATTATCATATGATGTTCATATATTGGAAGACTTAAATAGTGTTAAGATGACAGTAGTTCCCCAAATGATCTATAGATTCAGCACAATTCCTTTCAAAATCCCCAGCTGACTTCTTTGTAGATATTGACAAGCACATCCTAAAATTCACATGGAACTTGAAATGATGCAGAATAGTCAGAATAATATTGAAAAAGAAGAAAGTTGGAGGACTTACACTTCTTGATTTCAAAACTTACAAAGCTACAATACCTGATACAGTGTAGTCCTGGCATAGGATAGACATGTATATCAACGAAATAGCATTTGAGGATCCAGGAATAAATCCTCACCTTTATGATGAATTACTCTTCAATCAGGGTACCAAGACTACTTAATGGGAGAGGGCTCTTTTCTTCAACAAACAAGGCTTGGATAATTGGATATCTACATGCAAAGGACTGAAGTTGGACCCCTACCTCACACCATATTTTAAAAGTTGAGTCAAAATGGATGAAAGACTTAAATATAAGAGCTAAAACTGTAAATCTAAGAAGAAAACACGGGCATAAATAGTTGTGACATTGGAATAGGCAATAGTTTCTTAAATCTGACACCAAAAGAAAGAAATAGATAAACTGGACATCATCAAATGAAAAATGTTGATGATTCAAAGCATATCATCAACAAAGTGAAAAGACAGAGATGGGGAAAAAAAATCTTTGCAAACCATGTATCTGATAAGGAAGATGTATCAGAAAATATAAGGAACTCTTACAACTAAAAAAAAAAAAAGAAAAGAAAGAAAGAACAAATAACCCAGTTCAAAAGTGGGTAAAGGACTGAATAGAGAGTTCTTTAAAGAGTGTATAAAGCCCTGGCCGGTTTGGCTCAGCGGTTAGAGCGTCGGCCTGCGGTCCAGAGAGACCCGCGTTCGGTTCCCGCTAAGGGCACATACCTCGGTTGCAGTTTGTCCCCGGCCCTGGTCGGTCGTGCGGGTGGCAGCCACTCGATGTGTTCCTTTCACGTCGATGTCTCTCTCTGTTCCTCTCTCTCCCTCCCACTCTACCTGGACAAAAAATGGAAAAATGTCTTTGGGTGAGGATAAAAAAAAAAAAAAAAAAGAGTGTATAAAAATAGTTATTAAGCCCTGGTTGGTTTGGCTCAATGGTTAGAGCGTCAGCCCATGGACCAAAGAGTTGCAGGTTCGATTCCGGTCAAGGGCATGTGCCTCGGTTGTGGTTCAGTCCTTGGTCCTGGTCAGGGTTGAGCAGGAGGCAACCAATCAGTGTGTCTCTCTCACATTGATGTCTCTCTCTCTCTCTCTCTCCCTCCCTCGCACTCTATCTGAAGATAAATGGAAAAATGTCCTCTGGTGAGGATTAAAAAAAAATAGTTATTAAGCATAAGAAAAAATGCTCAGCAACTTTAGTCATCAGGGAAATTCAAATAAAACCATAATAAAATACAACTTCACACCCACTAGCATGACTATACTAAAAAATATAGATAATAACAAGTGTTGGTGAGAATGTGGAGAAATTAGAACCCTCACTCCTCATTCATAGCTGGTGGGAATATAAAATGGTGTAGCTGCTTTGGGAAATGGTTAAACCAAGTTAGAAAATGATTCAGTAATTCTACTCCTTTGTATTTACCCAAGAGGAAAGAAAGTACGTGTCCACACAAAAACCTGTGCATGAGTGTTCAGAGCGGCATCATTCATAACAGTGATGTAGAAACAACCCAAATGCCCAACAACTGATGCATGATACATACCATGTGGTCTCTCCACACAATAGAATGTTACTCAGCCACAAAAAGGAATAAAGCAGTGCCACATTCTACCACATGAATGACCCCTGAGCACGATGCTAAGTGGAGGAAGCCTGTCACAGAGGACCATACAACGTAGAGTCCCACTTACATGAAATGTCCAGACTGGGAAATCCATCGAGATTGAATGTAGATTAGTGGTTGCTCCGGAGAAGGAAGGAGGCTTTGGGGATTGGAAATTGGGGATAACAGCTAAGGGGTATGTTGTTTCTTTGGTGGGTCATGAAAATGTTTTAACATTGGTTCTGGTGTTAGTTATGCAGCTCTGTGAATATACTAAAACCACGGAATTGTACAGCAAAGCACATGAATTCTGTTGTGTATGAACAATATCAATAAAACTATATTTAAAAAAAAAAAAACAAGAACCACTGCTTTAGAGGTAAATAGTCTAGGTCAGTAGCACACACTGCTTTACCTCGGAATAACTGGTCTGCATTAGAGTAATGGTTTATCAGCTGAGGGGGTGTCTTAGTCATGGCCAATTAATTCAAGTAGAGAGTGTATCTTGTAGCCTACCGAAGGCAATGATATTAGCATATCTCTTATTTTTACCAAAATGGGTCTCAATTTTTAAATTAACTAAATGGATATTATTTTTTTTAAAAAGGAATTAGCTTTCAAAGGCCTACTTTTTTTTTTGTATGTGCCCCTAGCGGAAACCGAACCCAGGACTCTCTGGTCTGCAGGTCAATGCTCAACCACTGAGCCAAACTGGCCGGGGCAAAAGGCTTACTTTTGAAAAATGTGGGTAGAATGAAATATTTTCTCATGAGTTCTATTGACTATTACAATCAGTGGTATTTCCCAAATTCTTACAGATTGGGTTCTCTTGGGGAATTGATCGGGATACTATATTAATGGTACTTCCAGATCAAACTAACTTCTTGGACTTTGAGGCCAAATAAGCCTTTGAGTACAGATTCATGAATAAATTAACACTGAGGACAGTCTCAAAGGTCTTTGGTTTTAGGCATTTAGACCATTCTGCCTCTAACCACCTGACATTCACCATATGACGACATCTAAATTTAAATATAAAAATTATTGTCAAAGTATTTTTTATAACAGGAGTCTTACTAATTTTTTTTTTTTTCCACTGAAAGTCCTAGGAATGCCCACTATGTGCATTGTGTACACAGAGAATAAAAGCTCACTAGGATTTGGGGTTTTAAGTGGCGTTTTTAAAGAATTACTCCATGCATCTTTTGCCAACACCCACCTCAGCGAAATAGCTACACACACACACACACACACACACACACACACACACACACACACTCCAAGCCAGAAAGATGAAGACTGACAACACGGAAAACTAAGACTGACTCACAGCCTACTGTGAGAATGTAAGAAATCGCTACCTGGAAGGCAGGGGAACCTTGCTAACATGTGTTGGGAATTTAGTTTTTTATTTACTTCATTAATTTAGAATAGCAAAGCATCAGAAAGTCATCACTGAAATGACTCTAGGTACATTCAATATTTTTATGTTAAAAATTAGACAATGAAATATAAGATTATAGTTGAGTCATAGTTAATATTGGACTAAAGGACTTTACAATTCAATTAACAAAGGCAGAAAGCCAAAGGGGCTGTTTAATTATTTGATAGTTTAATCTCATAGAAATCATAAATGTCTGTATGTTAAAAATACCACGCACAAAATATAAAGACAAGGATCAAACAGTAAAATATCAACCATATATGTAATATATATGACATATGTGATGGGAAAAGATGGACTTTTATTATTTTAAATATGTTTTTATTGATTTTTTAGAGAGAGAGAGAAACAAGCACAAGAGAAGAAAGCCAGACTGTGAACAAATACACAGTCGTAACATTAACCCACAAATCTAAGTAAGGGTGCTTTTTTGGGGGAGGGTCTTATCACATTGGCACAGATTGAGAGGAATCATAGGGCTACTAGGAGTGTGAGGTGAGGGGGTGCACACTCATTTGTTGTAAATGGGCACAACTGTTCTGAAGGGCAGTTTGGCTGTACTTGTCAAAATCTTAAAGAGCGCATATCCTTTGGTCATGTCTAAATATTTTTTTTGAAGTTGTTCATCATAACATTGTTTAATGCCATGAGGAAATGTTCAAGATTAAAATTAAAAAGCAAACCACAAAATAGTATTATAATAGGATCACTTTTCACTTGAAAAACTAATAACAATTTTGTGCACTTTTTAAAAGTCTTCTTGGTACTATTTTGAGTTCCTAAATTTTCTAATATGAATATGAATTTCAGCAGAAAGTAAATGTTTACTTAAAAAACTCTGATACATCACATATTATATACAGTGTATACATCATAGCGGCTGTCAGATCTGCACGGCTCACACAGGTGTGTGTGCGAGTCTGGGGGCTGGCTGCAGGGCTCAGGCAGGACAGACGGGAGGGAAGACTGCCTCAGTTTGGACCAAAGAGCTGGGTGTTTTGGAGGTTACATGCATTGCCCAAGAGAAGTCCCTTTTTATTTAAAAATCCTCACCAGAGGATAATTTTTCCATTTCTGTTCAGTCATAGTGGGAGGGAGGGAGAGAGACACAGAGAAAGAGAGAGACATTAATGTAAGAGAGACACATCAACTGGTTGCCTCCTGCACGACCCGGACCAGGGCTGGGGACCAAACTGCAACTTAGGTACGTGCCCTTAACCAGAATCAAACCCGCGACTCTTTGGTCCCTGGGCCAACACTCCAGCCACTGAGCCAAACCGGCCAGGGCTGAAGTCGCTTTTTGACTGCCCTTTTTCCCTCGCTGATTTACTTTGTCTTGGAAGAAGAATTAATATTCAGCCTTGTACATCACCAGAATTTTATTTGTTTGTTTGTTTAGAACCAGAGATTTTAAAAAGCCTAAAATTTTACCCCTATCCCCAATTATTCCACAAAATAATTCCCCTGTAGCCCTATAAAGAAGGAATTTCAGTCTGACATTGAGATAGCAATTTTATGGGAGCATATATGTCAATAAGTGGATAAGTGGTTTGCTCTTTTTACGTCATAGTTTTTACCAGTTATTTTATAATTTAGTTATTTTATAATAAATAACTTTATTATCCTTCACTGATATTTTGTTCCATTGTTGATTTTGAATGCTATACTCAATAACAAAAACATTAATATGTGTTTTTTTTTTCAATTGAGTAGGAAGTTGATACTATTCTGTGTTGTCAAGAAAGGATGAAGCTCCACTTGGATAAGGCCATTGCCCAACTTGCGTAAGAGCTTGACCTCCCTGCACACTGTGAAACCCATTAGAACTACATGTGTGCCTCCATTCAGATTTCTCTTAGCTTCTTCTGTAAGAATTTCTTATATATGGATACACAAACACACATACAGGCACACACGTGGGGTTTTTTTTTTTTATTATTAATTTATTTTTCTTACAGATATTTCTCCTTTTTCCCCCATTGACACCCACCTCCTGATCCCCCCCACCCCATCCCCAGAATTGTTGTCTATGTCCATGGTTACACATACATGCAAAAAAAGTTCTGTGGTTTATCTCTTCCCTCTCCCCCAAGCCCCTCTTCTGAGGTTTGTCAGTCTGTATCCTACTTCTATGTCTCGGTCTATTTTGGTCATGAGTTTGTTTTGTTCATTATATTCCACAAATATGTGAGATCATGTGATATTTGTCTTTCTCTTATTGGCTTGTTTCACTTAAGATGATACTCTCCAGGTCCCTCCATGTCATCTCAAAGCATAAGAGATCTTTCTTTCTTACAGCTGCATAATATTCCATTGCGTATATGTACCACAGCTTTTTTATTCACTCATCTATTGATGGAAACTTGGGCTCTCTCCAAATCTTAGCTATTGTAAATAGTACTGCTATGAACATGGGGGTACATATATTCTTTCTGATTGATGTTTCGGGCTTCTTAGGGTATATTCCTAGAGGTGGCACCACTAGGTCAAATGGCAATTCAATTTTAACTTTTTGAGGTAACACAATGTTTTTCATAGTGACTGCACCAGTCTGCATTCCCACCAGCAGTGCACTAGAGTCCCCTTTTCTCCACATCCTCACCAGCACTTGTTGTTTGATGATTAGTTGTTGGCAGCCATTCTGACAGGTGTGAGGTGATACCTCATAGTTGTTTTAATTTGCATCTCTCTGATTATTAGTGACATTGAGCATTTCTTCATATGTCTCTTGGCCATTTGTATGTCCTGTTTGGAGAGGTGTCTATTTAGGTCCTCTGCTCATTTTTTGATTGGGTTATTTGTCTTCCTTTTGTTGAGTTGTATGAACACTCTATATATTTTGGAAATTAACCCCTTATCTGATGTATCATTGGCAATGATGTTCTCTCATATAGTGGGTTACCTTTCCATTTTAATGGTTGTTTCTTTTGCTGTGCAGAAGCTTTTTAATTTGGTGTAGTCCCATGTGCTCATTTTTCCTTTATTTCTCTTGCCTTAGGTGTTGTATTAATAAAAATTCTGCTGCATATGATGTCTGAAATGTTGTTGCCTACATTTTCTTCTAGGATTTTTATGGATTCACACATCACATTTAAGTCTTTTAACCATTTTGAGTTTATTCTTGTGTATGGTGTAAGTTGGTGGTCTAGCTTCATTGTTTTGCATGTAGCTGTCCAGTTTTCCCAACACCATTTATTGAAGAGGCTGTCTTTACTCCATTGTATGCTCTTGCCACCCTTGTCAAAAATTAGTTGAGCATAATGACTTGGGTCAATTTCTGGGTTCTCTGCTCTGTTACACTGGTCTATATGCCTGTTCTTGTACCAGTACCAGGCTGTTTTGATTACAGTGACTTTTAGTATAACCTGATATCTGGTATTGTGATTTCTCCTACTTTGTTCTTCTTTTTCAAGATTGTTGTGCCTATTCGGGGTCTTTTTCGATTTCATATAAACTTTTGGAGTATTTGTTCTGGTTCTGTGAAATATGTCATTGGTGTTTTGATGGGGATTGCATTGAACCTATAGATTGCTTTGGATCCTGTTTACCATTGCAGCAAAAGAAATTTAAGATACCTAGGAATAAACTTAACCAAAGTAAAGGACCTCTTCGCAGAAAACTACAGGTCATTAAAAAAAGAAATAGAGGAAGATATTAAAAAGTGAAAGCATATACCTTGTTCATAGATTGGAAGAATTAGCATCATTAAAATTTCCATACTATCCAAAGCAATCCATAGATTCAACGCACATTTTTATTTAGAGGTTAAAATGAGTACTTGGAGTACTCGCTTTTAATTTTTATTTAAAAAATAATTCGAGATTTCATAGAAAGGATTTCTGCCCTAACTTGGAGTATGGCTAAGATTTCTTTGAACTCAAAGACTTTTATTCTTTGATAAGAGATTTACTTGTGTATGTTCATCCCAAGAGTTGGAAGAGTCATGAATTGTGGTTCACTTTTATGTTTATTTTCTATACCTCCTTAAGGACTGAGCCTTCCCCGATCTCCCGTTAGATCCTGGTTCATCCACCTTCCTGCTCTGGTCACACCATCGCAATATCTATTACATCCATTGCATCGTTTGTCCACCCACTTATTCTCTACCAGAAAACACATTCCTCTTTTCTCAGTAACAGTAGATAGCAGGGGATTTGAGAAGGGGGTCTAATAGTCCAAAGATGGTCTTGAGTAGTGATAATAGCTGTCAACATAGAAAAAGTATTGGCTGAGGCTACTGCCTAACATGAATAGAAAAATCAATGTTCATTTGGTTATAGCCACCGGAAGAAGTTGTGATGAGATCACACAAAGGAAGCAATGACTCTGCTTATAGTGATGTTATCAAGGATTATGTGTGATATACCCAGAGCAATGAGCCTCATAAAGGTGTTGTTACTTCGTACTAAGTTTGCCTACCCTGCCCATAAAGACCGAGGCTGTAAAAGTGGGTGAGGTTTAGATGCTTGAGATATCTTGAACTCTTATTAGAAAAACTCTGATTCAGAAACTGGTATCAGATTAATTAAGGGTGACTCGCTGCTCCTGGTATGTTTAACTGTACAATTTACTTAAGCTATAAATACTGGGCAGTAAATTTCTGGTTTCTGTTCCCTAGGAATTTCACAAACACAAAGAATTGCTTCTGTTGTTTTCTTCTGGTCCAGTTCTGAATCCCCAGTTTTCTTTATGATCTAAAACCTTCTGTGTCCCTTGCTCTTCTTGGCCCAGATTGTTCCGCCCTGGACAGCCACATTTTCAGATCGGTCTCTGCTGCACACTGTCTCAGTCCTGGCCTAGCACTGTGCAGAGTTCTGTCTCCGCATGTGCACTTGTTCAGGGCTCTTAAAGAGCGGGGCAAAATGCCTATCTCATTTCCCGGGATGGCTTTCCTCAGACTTTGTGGGGGCCTGAATTCCTGACACGGTCCCTGGGCTTGGTCCAGCCAAGGTGATGGGCAGCGGGTTTTTCTACTCTGCTTGTCTTGGAAAGTACGATGAAGAACCTAGTTTGGATCTTGGCTGAAAATGGCAACTCATTAGGCACCAATGTGGCAGCCAAGACTTTTCCCATCTTGGGCTATAAAATTGGTTGATGAGGGGCTGGCTTCAGGACTCCCCTTAGGAGATTCTGAGATCAGGTCAGAGGGGGTCAGTGAAGGAAAACTAAGCAGCATCCACGTCCCAAACAACAAATGAGAAAGGCTTTCTAATCCTGAGTGTCAACCAACAACCTGAGGTCAGAGGCTGAACACAGAGGAGCAAGGGAAGGGGCTTTGCTACCCTTCACCCTGTGCACATGGATACTGTTTCAGATTTCACAAAATGCAGGTGGCTGGCATGCTGCTACCCTCAATTCCACTTTCCAAATAAAATTTAAAAAGAGACCTGAAAGGTCGGGTGACTGACCCAAAGGCACCGGCTCAGTTAAAGGGGTGCTGCAGCTAGAACTAGTCCATTAAACTCCGTGCAATTTCTGGGCTCTGGGAATACAGAAATAATTAAGACCATCTGGTTCTACTTTTTCAATACTATCTATATGCTGATGCCTCCCAAATTTTTATTACTGGCCTAGAACTTTCTCCCAAATGCCAATACCCTCCTTGGTACCTCCACTTGGATGTCTCGTGGACACTGAAGCTCAGGATGTCCTCTCCCGAGCCGCTGAGCCCACAGCCCAGCCCACCCTAGTTGATGGAATTTGCTATTTCAATCACTGAGCTTCAGCTCTTTTTTCTAACCAATGTCAAAGATTCTCTTGGTTCCATCTTTAAAACATATTCAGAATCTGAGCATTTCTCACCTCCGTCACTGCTACCCCTTGGTCCAAGCCACCATCATCTCTCACTTGTCTGCCAACGGGACTCCCTGCCCCTGCAGGCTGTTCTCAATCCAGCACCAGAATGACCCTCTAAATTGTAAGTCAGTGATCTCTCCCTTCATCGGGAGGAAAACCTGATGCCTTGCGGTGTCCGCTGAGGCTCTGCAGGGCCTGGCGCTCCCGGCCAGCCTTTGCTCAAAGCCGCACCTCCAGGAGTCCTACCCCCAAGGACCTTGTTTAAAATCATCATTCACACTCCCGCCCCCCTTTTTCTGCTTTGGGTTTTGCATTGTCCGGCTAACAAGCCACAGGATTTGCTTATTCTTATGCTTTAGTAGTATTCCCTGGCCCCTCCCAGCAGGATGCAAGCTCCCTGGGGCGAGATGCTTGTTCTATTGCACTCCCCCTGCAGCACGGTCGGGATGCAGAGGGCACCCGACTATTATTAGTTGGATGAACTACTCCATGAGTGAAAACTGGCTCACTTGTCACCAATGCCCACCCTGGGGCCTGTCTCTTTGGCAGTGAGCTGCCAGGCCTCATTTCTGCTTGGCGGGGCAGGAAACACCATGCCTCCCAGAGCTCACCAAGGTCCCCTCCTTCCCAGGAGGGCAGCGGCTGAAGCACAGGAGCCTGGGAGCCCACCCGGTTCTGATTTGTTCCAAGCATTCTGACTCCTGCCCGGGATGTTCGGCTTGACCCTGGGTTTCTGTCTCCCAGAGGACTACTCAGGCCTAGCGTGAGCACACACTGAGGTCGCCTGCAGAGAGAGGCTGGGCCACAGGTGCCTCGCCACTTCCCAGCAGAGGATGGAGGAGAAAGGGGTCGGGATGTAGAATTCGAGAAGGAAGATGGAAAGGGGAGCACAGCTGCGAACAGACTCCTCTAAACCAGTGTCCTGTCTGCAACAATTATTTTAGGAAGATGGGCTCCAGTCCTGGGGCTCCAGAGACTTGACTTCTGTTTATCCGCACCTCTTCTCTCAAAGCCCTGTGGGAGGGCATTATGGGCAGGGTTCTAGTTAATCACATGTGTGGACATCTCCAGGGAAGGCTCCTTTTCATTGAAAAGTTGGACATTGTGTGAACAGGAGGGACCTGGAGAGCAGTACTGGGTGGGTCTCAACACAGCAGGGCAGTTGCTCTTCCTCTCGTGACATGGTCACCCGCAGTTGAAGCCCCATCCCCTCCCTCTGTTGCAGAGCTAACAGAGCCGCCCAGCACGAGCTGGAGAAGGACCTGCATGATAAGCAGGCGGCATACCAGATCGACGACAAGTGTCACCATCTGCGGAACACGTCGGACGGCATCAGCTACTTTCGTGGTGTGGAGAGGGTCGACGCGACGTAAGTCAGGCACATGCTGCTCCTGTGCTCTCGATGTTATTTCATCGGTTCTCCCTTCTTTCCAAATGAGATAGCTCACAGGTGGAAACAGGAAACCCAGGGGCACGTGGGAAGGGAACAGACACTGGACCAGCCTCCGCCGGCAGGCGTGGCACTTCCCTCCTGAATTCCTTTGGGAAGGAATGTTTGTCACCTGGGAAGAGAACACCTGCTAGATGCAGAAAACCCTGAACACACGGATGAGGTTAAAGGAAAGTGCGGCCTGTGTCTGATGCCCGGGAGTCAGTGGGTGCGTGCTGAAAACAGCTTACTGTTTTTCTCACCACTGGTGGTTAGACGTGTCTGTCCGTGGTTGCTGTGCCAGGGCCCGGCACGCAAGCCTGGGTTCACGGTCTTCCCAAGCATTCCCTTTCCAAACCATCAACTCGACAGAGCTGAAATTCACCTGCAATAAGTGCGCTCAGTGTAAGTGTAATTTTCATAAATTTTGATACATTTCTATGCCTATGTGACTATGACCACAGTTAAGATAGTATTTGAATCACCCAGAAAGTTTTCTTGTGCTCTATCCCACACTCATGCCCCCTCCCCCTTGCACAGTAAACCCCAGATGTATTCTCTCCTTAGGGCTTGTCACCCCCAAAGCAGGTGTGACTCAGATTCAGACGCTATGTCCTAAGTGGCCCCCAGCAATGCCCCTTCTCTGGCTTGAGGTGAGCCAGGAGTATCTTCCCTCTCCTCCCAGGGACAGGGTAGGCTGGGATGAAACCACACACTCTGACCACAGAGCCCTCCATGCAGGGCCCCTTCTATTTGCAACATGAACTCTTAGCCACCTCTCAGAGAATGACAGGCTGTGGACTGGATAGGGTGTGATTTGGGGTCATTGAGGCCTGAGCTAAAACCTCTAGTCAACAGTAGGAGCCTTATACCAACAAGTAAAGAAATGTCCCCCATGAGTCTACCACCCAGAGATGCCCGGTGTTAACAATTAATCATTAGTCCTTCAAATTCCTGTCCATGCAGGAGATACAGATTTTGTTTTTAAATAATGGTATTTCATGCATGCTGTTTGAATAGCATGTCTGATTTTTTACTTTGTGATATATCTAAAACGTTGCTTGTGGAAACATTCTTCTGCAACGTGAGTTTGCACACTCTATGGGATACTTTTTTAAATGTACTATAATTTACTCAGTTTTACCTTTGAGCATCAGGCTGTTTCCAGTTTTTCAGGGATTGACATAAATATTGCTGAAAATGAGTATCTTCACATGTACATCTTTGGGAGCATTATTTCCTTGGGGTAAAAAAAATAAAAAGTGTTTGCTTCATTAGCACACATTAATGTTGGAACACTAGATGGTTAGCGTGGCCCCTGGGCAGGACTGATGTGGAAATTCATGAAGTGTTCGGTATTTTTAGCTCTGGGGATGCCAAGTACAGCAGAGTGACTATAATTAGTACTGTATGTATATTGGACAGTCTCTAAGAGAATAAATCTTAAAAGTTCTCATCACAAGAAGAAAATATGTAATTATGTGTGGTGATGGATGTTAACTGTATTTATTGAGCTGATCATTTTGAGATATATAGATATATATTCAATATATTTTATGCCTAAAACTAATACAATGTTATATGTCAATTATACTTCAACAAAAACATTTCTAGAAGTGACCTGTCTGGGCTATACACATTCGAAAGGATCTTGAGGTACACTGACTTTACCCTCCATCACGGCTGTACCAAGCCAACATTCCTACACACAGCATATGAGAACTTTTCTCTAGATATGCTCACCCGCAAATCATTATTCTCTTCCCTCTTTGCTTTTATGATAAAAGGGTTATTAGTATGTTGGTGTTTCCACAGCTGCTTTGATTGTTCTTGAGGTTGAATATTTTTATACACTTATTAAGCTGATGTGATGCATTTCTAATGAACCTACATACCCTTGCCCTTCCTCAATCCTTTTGTTCCTCTCCAAATTGACAGAAGAGTTAGTTTATGCTTTGGATTTATAGGAAACTGGTTAGCAGTAGAATAAGAAGCAATTAAGGAAAATTTAAAATAAGCTTTGCTGTGATGTTTATGTTGTGTGCACTAAAACCAGGACCAGTGATGTGGTCTTTGAACAGGAGGAATGATGGCCAGTCCCTCACTGTCATCAATGTCTGCTTCTACTTCCCTTTCACAGGGTCTCGGTGCCCGAGTCCTGGGCCAAATTCACAGATGACAATATTCTTCGCTCTCAGAGTGAACGAACAGCCTCAGCCAAACTAAGAGATGACATTCAGAACCTCCTGGTCGTGACCGCCAATGAGATGTGGAATCAGTTCAACAAGGTGAACTTGGCCTTCACGAACCGCATCGCCGAGACTGCAGATGCTAAAAACAAGATTCAGGTTCACTTAGCAAAGGTAAGTCAAGCACCCGGGCTACCCTTAGCTGACCTGGCTGGATGGAGCAGGGGCTCTGGGACCACAGGTCTCTTGCTGCTCCCAAGACACAACATGAGGCACCCGACCTCCTGGCCGCACAGACGAAGAGAAGTTAAAAACAGTACAAAAGGCACTATTTGTTTTAGTAAGGTAGCCAGGTGTCAGATTGAAATTAGAATCCACTGGTTTGGGGAACACAAAGAATGCACTATGTAATAAAAGCTTCGTAGTATTTTTAACAGAAACAAAAATATTATCGAGGCTTAATGAATCACTTTATGTAACTAGGAAGTGAATTTATTATTAGAACATATGGTGGGAATGTTTTCTGTTAAATTATTTTAGGCACTTTTTTTTTTTTTCTGGAGTACAAAACCGAATACTGGAAACTATTAGGTATTTCAAAGTGTTTCTGATATTGAACTTTTGCGTGTTCTAAGTATAAGGGTTTTATAATGATCCTAAAGTGAAGGATTCCATCAGAATTCATGTTTCAAGATCAACGAGGGCTCTTTCACTTAGTATCAGTCTTGGAGCTCTTGTCACTTCAGATCCAGCTGCATCTGCTCATCATTTCTGTTTCTAAGAACCTACAAGTCGGTCATGCCACTCTAAGGGGACGTCTCCCAGTTGAGGGCACTGTGTTTTCTCAGGATGCAGCCATCTGTCCCTCTCGCGACGCCTCCTCTGGGCGCACACTTACTGTCAGACAGGGTGCTGCCTACTATGAAAGGCAGGACGAAGGATAAAATGTAGTTCTTGTTCCCAGGAAACTTACATTTATAGAGAAAAGATACATACATATGAAAAGCTTATGAGTAATTAATAGCAATAGAAAAGTTACACATTTTGGTCACCAAATAACAAATACAGGAAGTGTTTTGGGATCTGGAGGAGGAAGTGAACTTGACAGGTGAGCAACGTCTTGAACAAAGCCTGCAGAGGCAGCCAATCAGAGGTGAAGTTCAGGTGGTGAAGGGACCCTTTCGGCTGGTATGATGGTGGGTGTTCTGGAAAGGTAGGTTGGAGCCAGACTGGGGAGGATGTTAATGGAAAGGTATCCGTGTAAAGACCTTTCAGAAGACTGACGTGACGGAGTCCCTTCGCTTCCCCGGATTTTATTTACAACTGTATCGGTTTGCTAGGGCTGCCGAACATGTTCAGACTGAGGGGCTTACACAGCAGGAATGGTTGCGTCACTGCTGGAGGCTGGAAGTCGGAGATGAAGGTGTGGGCAGGGCTGATTCTTCTGGCCTCTCCCCTTGGTGTGTAGGTGGCCTCCTCTCCCCGTGTCCTCACATGGTCTTCCCTCTGCGGTGTCCGTGTCTTTGCCCCTTCTAAGGACACCCGTCATATTGGATTAGAATTCAGCCTACTAACCTCATTTTAACTTAGTTACATCTGAGGCACTAGGAGTTAGGACATAAACATATGAATTTGAGGGGGTAGAGAAGAAGGTAGAATTCAGCTTATCAAAGCTACATTCAAGGATATATGTGTATACCTTGGGGTATACATATGTGAATGACACATTGACCTTGCTATCTTGTGTCTTACCGTGAGGCAAGACATATACACAGAAAAAGGTGAGTTCCATCAGAAAGGTGCAGAATGAACCCCTTGGCGCTACAGCTAAAATGTTCATTTAGCAGAAAAAGCAGTTGTTTCCCATGGTGAGAGACAAGAAGCTCCAGAGTGTGGCCTTGGTGACAGAAACCGGTGTAATGAGGGTTGAAAGCAGATTGTTGGAGTGTGGGAGGGGTCAAAGTTCACGTGACAGATTCAAGAGTTCCTGGCTTACCCAAGCGCTGAATCTGGATGATTCCTGATTTCAGAGGAGGAGAAAGGGTGTAACAGACAGTGGTCTAGGGACAGAACCTTGCGCTGGAAGTGAGGAGTTCGGGCAGCACTTGGCTAGAGAAACTCGAGGGATTCAAGGAGGGGAGACATGGAAAGGCCTCTGCGTGGGCTGGAGAGCAGGCTCAGGAGGGCAGTTAGAGCCAGAGGCGGTGCAGAGGCGTGTGAGGTCAGGTGAGGGGAGCGCAGGGAGCCAGTAAGACCATCCTGAGTAGCCAGCTGTGAGCTTGAGCAGAGACCACCGGCTGAAGCAACCAGGTGGGACTGGATGAGAGAGTGGTGTAAAGACATACAGTTTTAAAGGAATTGGGTGATGCTTGGATGTGTCTCCAGGCCGAAGGAAAAGGGCAGAAGGAGGGAGAGTGATGGGGGAAGGGGGTGGGGAAATGGGAGTGCAGAAGTCAAGGAGGAGAAGGAAGGGGTTCAGAGCATGGAGGAGGGGCTCACTTCACAGAGGAAACCAGGTTCATGCAATTTGGGGGACCACGTTTTAGAAAAAAGGGTATAAAATGAGGACTAACAAAATTGCCAGTGCCCCTCCCTTGCCAGCGAGGCTCCCGGAAGCTTGACCTTGATTTGCTTCGAGGCAAACCCTCCAGCGCAGGCAAGCATCTCCGCGAGGTCAGCTGGAAGGAGCGAGCCGGAGCCCTGGACAAGCTGACTCCAGGGGGAAGCAGGGCCAGTCCAGCCCCGCGGCCTCACTTTACAGTTCCACACAGAGGTCTGTGGATCAGCACTTAACAGTGGGTGATCTGGGGGGAAAAAAGAAAAGAAAAAAGCTCTGATTTGTAGCATTTGTCAATCTGATGTAAATTCCCACCCTGGCTGATGTCCCTGGACTAAGGGCTGCGAAGATGCATGCAGTCAGCTCTCCAGGGCAGACAGAGGCTGCAGCAGCACCCTGTGGGTTCCCGGGTAGGGCAGGAAGGAGCGGGGTCTCTCAGTGAACCAACCTCCACCCCGGGTGGACGGCCCTGCGGACAGGCAGGAGGAAGAACAAGCACGGGGTGCACCGCGCCACATCGGGCATTTGCTTCTCTTCCCACAGACACTGCAGGAGATTTTCCAGACTGAAATGACCATCGAGTCCATCAAGAAGGCCATCAGGGACAAGTGTGCCTTCCTGAAGGTGGCTCAGACCAGACTGGATGAGCGGACGAGGAGACCGAACATAGAGCTGTGCAGAGACATGGCCCAGTTACGGTGAGTGGGGAGGCCACGCCCCTGGCAGGAGGGGACAGTCCACCAGCCTGCCTGGCTCCGCGTTCTTTTTGAAGGTGCTTTCTGCCAACATGCTGGTGATAAGAAAGAGCACAGTGATGCTCATTGGGTCGGGGCCTTCTTTAAAATCACTGAAAGTGGGAGCTAGTGTTGAACGGGCATGGGGTTTAGTTTGCGATGATAAAATGCTCCAAAGTGAATGATGGCGTAGGTGAACAGCACTGTGAACGCACTTAATGCCCCTGGGCTATCCCTTAAACCAACTGGGACAGTGAATTTCATTATGTGCGTTTTAGCATCATTTTTAAAGAAAGGAAATGGCATCAGCATTACACGCAAAAAAGTGATAAACCCCAGGCCTCATTCAGTGAGGCCAACGTGGGTTTGGGGTTCCTCCACTCTTCCCTGGAGTCCTCCGGAGTTTCCAGAACACCCTGCTCATCCGCAGCAGAGCCAGTGGGGTTGCTGTGTCCTCAGTGCCAGACTTGTGAGAAAAGGGATTTGCATTACGACTTTACGCACCCTCTCTGTCTATCCGCTCTCATCTGTTTGCTCTTGTTGGCTTCCTTTGGTGGTTAATACCTCTGCTCTTGTCATTAAGAGCATCCTCATGATCCCCTAAAACGCCTAATAGCTGTTAGGGTCATTTCAGTGTGTTCTGTTCTCAGAAGTTGAGAACAGCTGGTCATCAAGCAGGTCCCCTGCACACACATGGCAGGAGGCATCTGACACCAGTTTCTCAACCACACGCTGCCTGTACTTTATTACTGTTTTAACCCCGAAGATTCCATTTCGGATGGGCTTGTCAGTAATTGGCCAGGGCCCCTCACCCATCCCCCCACTCTGGCTTCATTTCTAATTTCCCAGAACCTGCTGCTTTCTGCCTTTTCTGTCTGGATCTCAGTATTGCTATATTTAGGTCAGAAATGCCTCTTGGCAGAGGCCGAGCAGCTGCAGGAACAAAGGGCAGCACGGGAAATCTACCGCTGTTTCTGGGCAGAGATGCCACCGGTCTGGTCTCCCTGGCCCCAGGATGGAATTCTCTATCACCGTGCATGCTTTATCCAGGGCTAAAACGACTTTGAGCTTCACCAAAGAAACACGTGTGGATTTTCTGGAGGGAAAGGAAAGGGTGGTGTTTGTGCGTGCAACGATGATGAACGCAGTAAGGAAGACAGTGATGGAGGCGATAACAGCAGCTGCTACCGTTTCGTGATCTCATTCTGTGCTGGCTACTGCCCTGAGCACGCTACACTACCTCATTCATTGTCTGCATTTGATGAATGAGGAAACTGAGGCAGAAGTGGGCCGCGTGGCACCTGAATCCACACCAACTGTTTGCATCTGCTTCCCCATGTTTCACATGGAGGTGTTTTCACCATTCCCTGTCATGTGTCTGACCTTGTCTGACCTCAATGCCCATATGGGATGAGTCAGCAAAGCAGGCACTGTATCCACATCTCTCTCACAGAGGACGACTGAGGGCCCCAGGGAGAGTGTTGCTGCAAAACACTCCCCACGCTGTCTGTGTTGGATGCTGAGGAGCGTGCTTCAGAATGTAAGCAGACAGGCTAACCACGTGTCTCCCAGGGCAGCCGTCATCTTAGGCCACAGCCACAGAGGTCAGCCAGCTACATATCTCTCAAAGCGAGTTCCATAGAATCCCTGCTCATACAGATTCCATTATACAGGACAAGCTGCCCTGCCAGGTGGGGCCTGGGATGGCCAGTCGGCAGGACCGGTAGGCTTCAGAAGAGCCTGCCAGAGGGAACACACTCATTTGGCCAGTTACCAGTGGATCACAAATTGTGGCTTTCTGAAATCTGATTAGGAGAAACTGAACTGAAGTTTCCTGCTCTAAACGATTTTCCTGAGGCCTCCCAAGTAGCGATAGGGGTTCCGACTGCCATCAGACAAGCCGAGGGCTGCTCTCGGAAAGGCTTTTGAGTAGTGGTCTAATCCGACTTGGAGTTATCAAACAATGAGGCATTCACAGCAGCTTCTGAGCAGCTGAATGGCTTGTACTTTCTTCTCCTTCACAGCTAAACAGAAGTCGCTTTTCCTTGACTTCCTGTCGACTTTGTAGTATGTCTATTTCCTCTGCTTCTTCATTGACTTTAGGACAAAACCTACTTTTGTTTCTGTAAAGATTTCTTGTTAAAATAGCATTGCCAAAAATATGGTCCCAGTAACAACAGCGGAATTTAGGATTATTATTGGGGGAGGGGGTTATTTTTCCTCTTCTACTGATCATTCTCTGAAAGCAGCCCTTTGGCCGGCTAGATTAAGAAAAAAATAAGCCCATAAACTCCAGGGAGTGAGGACTGAGAAAAATTGCTGTTTTCATTTCGAGACATTTATTTTCATTTAAATTTTTCTAAATGGGTTCTTTCAAAAGTAATTCTAAACATCCGTGGCATCTTTGGTGGCAGGCCAGCCCAGGCTCTGCTGCACCTAAATAATCCTGATACATTTTTCTAAACTATGGTAGCTTTATTTGTATTTGAACGCAAAATGTTTTTCAGTTCTGTAATTCCCCCAAAAGGAGTGGTTTCAGATCAGCTCCCATGATCTGCCAGAACGCGGAAACCCACAGTGAAGTGTGGCCTTGAGGGACGAAGAAACATGGACTTCTGGGTGCAGCAGGCGGGCGGGCGGGCCTCCCTCTGTGCTCACAGCGGTGGAAACCAGGGCGTTCACTGCCTGGTTCTATGTGTCTTGAATTCCTTAAAAAAAAAAACAACATTGAGATATATCTATATCTATATCTATATCTATATATATATATATATATATATATATCTCCTCACCTGAGGACATTTTTCCATTTTTTGTTCAGATAGAGTGGGGGAGGGGGCATCGATGTGAAAGAGACACACTGAGTGGCTGCCACCCGCTCAACCCAACCCCGGGCAGGGACAAACTGCAACCAAGGTGCGCACCCTTAGTGGGAACCGAACCTGGGTCTCTCTGGACCACAGGCCGACGCTCTAACTGCTGAGCCAAACTGGCCAGGGTGAACATTGATATTTTAATGTGTATGTTTTTCAAAACTTTCTTCAGATAAATCTTCAACGAGACTGCTATTTGGCTTCGAGGAGTCCAGACTCGTGTGTCTCCCTGCCTCTTTCCCTCCCTGTGGGCTCCGTTCCCTGGAAGCCGGTGCAAGGGGCTCAGGCGGGGGCAATGACAGGCCGGCCCAGCGAGGCTGTGCACAGCCCAGGCCCAGCTCCCACTACCGCCAAGCCAGCAGCCTCCCTGAAGGTCTGTTTCTTTCCTAGTGATGTTGTATACCCGGGGAGCATCAGAAAAGACTCATTTTTAATCCAACTTCATCTAAACAACAGCAAAATATGCTTTATAGCAGCTCTCAGATGGTGTTTACCACCCCAGACCGAAAGAAACTTGGCGCTGCGGTTTCCATTCCTCCCCCACCGATGGATGTGAGAAAACCGGCACAGGTTCCAGGAGGAAAGACGCATGGCGTGGGCGTTTCTCGGGGCGCTGGCGGGGTGGGGTGGGGCGCTGGCGGGGTGGGGTGGGGCGCTTGGCAGGCTGTCTGAAATGGGCTGGAAGCTGAATCCCCAGGCCCCGTCCAGGCTCCTCCTCGCAGTCTCCATCGCCTGGGGTCTGGTTCTCCTTGAAAGACCCTGTGGACTCGGCTCCCTGGGTAGCGCTCCTCCCACAGCGGCCTCCTAACCTCGTTGGTCGTCATCCGTCAGGCAGGTTTGCACCCTGTCGGCAGCAGGGGCTGCTGGGTTCAGCCTCGAGCACGGTGGGTCAGCGCAGGGCGCTGGTGCTTCAGGGAGCTGCTTACCTGCAGGGCAAACAGTGACCAGGCAGCCACAGGCACCCTGCGGGCCACGGGAGGGCTGGTGCTCCTGGAACCCCAGCACTGGACTTTGGGCCGCTGCCTAGTGCCAGGGTTCAGGGAGGGTCGCGAGGAGGAAGTGTCCGTTCCTCTGGGCTTTGGGGATGGCATGCATTAGCAGATGGTGTTGGGCTAAGGAGATGGGAGGTCAGAGGCAGCAAGCACACCCAGGCACACACCATGTCACGATGGACATGCCTGCCATGCAGAGGGGGAAGGACCTGGGGGACAGAAATAACAGATTTGATGACTAAAGGATGGGACTATGAGGAAGAGGGTGGGGTTGTGAGGATCAGAGGGTTTGGTTTTCAGCATCCTCAGGATGATGTCACCATAGCCTGAGATGGGACACAGCTGGCATGGGGTGCTGGTGGCCCACCTGCTCCCTACTCTACTTAGGCCCGGGTCAGCATAGCGGAGAGAAAGGTGTGCCTAGACAAGGGCGTGGCGGAGCCACTCGGGGAGTCTGGGGGCCAGTCATCATGTGGTTGTCACGCTGTCCAAGGGAATGGGATGCTCCCCAGTTGTCACTCGGCCAAGTCACTTCCGACATGTCTCCAAAAGTCAGAGAGTTCAGATTCCTCAAAATGGTGTTTCCTTTTTGAAAAATATTGACTTTGTTCTGCCTGTAAGAGTGGTATCAGTTCATGACTGAAAAGTCAGAAAATGAAATAAGAGATCAAAACCATCTTCCTTTCTTTGTGCCATTGAGGGATAACCAAAGTTAGCAATTTGCTGTATTTGCCACCAAGCACGTGAACAAAATTGTGATCTTTCTGCATATAGGATTTAAAATCTTGACTCTTTCAACTGACATGGTAAGCGGGCCTCTTTCTCTATTGCAAGTACAGTGTTTTGGGGTTTTTTTAGGTAGTGCTTGCATAGTATTTCATCATCTGGCTATGGCATTCATTATCGTTACCCAATAACATTTTTCCTCTCATGTTGTCATAATCTACTCTAAATACAAGATAACACTATGAATTATTCCTTTATACTTTTATGGTAAACTTTTCACCTCGCTTACATTTTTTTTCTAAAAGTTTTTGTTTGTTTGTTTAATTTCACAAGTAAGATAGGAATACATTCTGATTTTAAAGGAAACTCAAATAGTACAGACCTGCAAAATGAGGCCCCTTCTGCCCTCTCCACCCGCTCACCCCCAACCTCAGGAGCAGCGCTGGTTTGAGCATCTCCTTAAGTATGATTACAATGTGTCCTGTAGGAAAGGGGAGCAGGCAGGGTTGTGAATAGAACAATTGGTGCCATTCTAATAACAATAACAGTCTGTGAGAACCCACTTGGGCCCTGGCACTGTTCTGGCCCTGTGGCAGGGTTGCCAGATTTTGCAAATTAGAACAGGACAGCCAGTTAAATCTGAATTTCAGATAAATAATAAATAATTTTTCAGTATGTATAGCCCAAATATTGCAGGCAATAAACTGAAAATACTTATGCTAAGTAAAAATACTTACATTGGATATTATTCAGCCTTAAAAAGGAAGGAAATTCAGACACCTGCTACCACATGGATTGACCTTGAGAACCTTATGCTGAGTGAAGTAAGTTGGTCACAAAAGGACAGATAATGCATAAGTCCACTGGTATGGGGTCCCTAGAGTGATCGGATGCACAGAGAGGGAGAGCAGAAAGGTGACTGTCAGGGGCTGGGGGGGGGGGGGAGTTCCTGTTGAATGGGGACAGGGTTTCCATTTTGTGAAAACAGTTCTGTGAATAGATGGTGGTGATGGTTGTACAATGTGAATGCAAGTAATGCCACTGGATTTGACACGTAAAAATGCTCAACAGGGCAAATTTTTTGTTATTTGTATTTTACCACAATTAAAAAACATACTTAACTAAAAAAAGTACACATGTATCTGAAATTCAAATGTAACCAGGCATCCTGTTTATTATCTGGCAACCCTACACTTTGGGGGTTATAGATAGCAATGACATGGCCTTAGCAAAAGGGGTTCAGTGTGTTGAGGCCAACATCCTGGGTTTCTGCTTCTGTCCTTTTCTCAAAGGGAACTTGGAGAGCAGGGCAGGAAATGAGATCTAGTTCATGACGGCTCCTGGGGCTCCTTATTTCCTCCCTAGCTTCCTGGATAACCATGTGCAGCCTGTGAAGGCAGGCGGCCGTGGTCCTGAGAGGGCAGTTCGCCAGGCCTCTGCGTCTGGTTTCTCGTCTGTACAGTGAGGGAACTAGGCTCGATGACCTTTCTCATTGGTTTTCCAGCTGCAAAGTTCTGTGAAGCTATAAAATGGCCTTGGTATCATGATTTTAATAGGGTCTGAATGTTTTTCTGTGATCAAGAAATCTCTTTCTGTCTCTAAGGGTATCCACATAGATGTGTCCCTTTGTTTATTGTCACTGAACTCTTTATATTGCTGTATATTTCGATTAATGTCATGTGCCACCAGTCTGCTGACAGATGAACCCCAAAATGAAGAAAAACCGTAACTTGGAATAACTGTTTAAAATTTGGTGAACTTGGAGTTGTGCTTTTGACTGACCAGAGTCAAGCAGGGGAGCAGCGTGGTGAATAAAAGCAGCAGATGGGTAGTTCCAGGCAAAGCTCTGAGGACAGTTACCTAAGGTCCTGGTACCTCGGTTTCCTCATCTGTAAAATGGGAATAATCACAGTATCTACTGCAGAGTGTTGTTATTAGGATTAAATTGTCTGATCATGTAAAGGACTTAGGATAGGATAGTTGCTACATATTAGCATATATTATATACTATGTTATACATATAATAAAGTAGTTAATAAATGAGTTATTATTGTCTTTTTGTAATCTGTTTCCTATTTTTAATCCCGAGTGACCACATGGTCATCTCCCTTGGGTATTGTTGGCCAGTTCAGCAGGTAAAGGAGCCCTTGCTTAATTGCTCTTCAGGAAGAGAAATGCTTTCTGAACACCAGAGAAGAAATCAGAAAGAAAAAAAGAGAAATTTGGCTTAGTAAAAACTGAACTCTTACATATAACAAAGCATAATAAATAACATTAAAAGGCAAAAAAGAAATTAAGGGAAATATTTGGCACAAGCATAACAGACAAAAAAAATCGATATTCTTGGTACTGAAAGAGCTCTTTGCAAATGAATAAGATAAACAGAAATATCTCAGTAGAAAAGGGAGCACAAGACAGAGGCAGTTCACAGAAGAAATGCAAGACGACCAACAGACATTTAGGAAAGGTTCACTAATAAAGAAATAAAGCCCTGGCCAGTTTGGCTCAGTGGTTGGAGTGTCGGCCTGCGGTACAGAGAGACCCGGGTTCGGTTCCCGCTAAGGGCACGTACCTAGGTTGCAGTTTGTCCCCGGCCCTGGTTGGTTGTGCGGGTGGCAGCCACTTGATGTGTCCCTTCACATCAATGTTTCTCTCTCTCTTCCTCTCTCTCCCTCCCGCTCTATCTGAACAACAAAAAAATAAAAAAATAAAAAAATAGAAATTAAAACAATATCAATTCACATAATTGAGGAAATACTAGATTTTCCATGAAGTAAATTTGTTTTTCCTTTTAGTTTGAATGAAAAATGTATCATTTTTAAATCATCATAACATAATTAGATCTCTAATTCATTTCACAGTTTATGTAGCTGATTTTACATGGAATCATTTTCATATTCTATTAAGTTTCCGACGGTTACAAGTATTACAAGTATATTTACTCAGGGACACTGGAGCATTACCTCGGGAGATTGTTGAGGGGAGAGGGGGCATTGTAATTTGAGAAGTGCTCCATTGACTAATCCCTCTCTCTACCCCACTCAAATTGGGTATCCCCCTATTCCTAACTACAAAAATAATTTTAATGATAAAATAAATGTAAGAAAGTCCAGCTAATTTTTAATTATTTTTCATTTTTACTAATTAAAAAAAATAAAATATTAAAAAAGTCCTTCTTTTAAAAAATGTTATTGTGTAATGTGTGTGTGTGTGTGTGTGTGTGTGTGTAAAAGTGTGTTTGTGTCCCCAAAATATGCTTAGTTTGCCCTTTGGGTTCTGGGTATAGTTATTGGGAGTGGTCCTGGCCAGATACTAGGACCACACACAAATATTGCTTCCTTGGCAATCTTGCAAATGAAGTAGTTCTGATGTTGGTGTGACCTGTACCTCTGGGGACTCCATCTGAGCCCAGCACAGTGGCCACACCTCTACTAGGAATTCACTAACCATGCACGTCCTTGATTCAGCTACTAACCGTTACTGGAAACGTGGCTTCTGCTGACCTACGGGCGCTTCTTCTCTCACACAGCCTTGTCAACGAGGTGTACGAGGTGGACGACACCATCCAGACTCTGCAGCGGCGCCTGAGGGAGGCCGAGGACACCCTGCAGGCCCTGGTCCACACCAAAGCCACCCTGGAGCACGACCTGGCTGTCAAAGCCAACTCTCTGTACATCGACCAGGAGAAGTGCATGGGGATGCGCAAGAGCTTCCCCAACACCCTCCGGCTGGTGGGCTTCTGCTAGGGACCCGGAGCGGTTTCCTTACTCCTCAGGAAAGAGAAACAGAGCCCTGTCGCAGCCCTGAGTGCTGCTGCGTTCACTTATTAAAGGATCGTATTGAAAGACGTGTACCAGTCTCCGGTCTTGGAAAGCCTTTGGTTTGCATCCAAACTTTAATTTTCTATTTACTAGGCTTCTGGGCCTAGGGAAGAATATAAAGAAATAGAATCAATCTAATAGGAAAGGTAAAAACCCTATTTGCATTATTCATTGTATTCTTGGCATACCATGAATGAGCTAGGAAGGAGAAATGTTTTTTCCCTGGGAGGCAGAAGCAGGGATCACAGGCGGCGGATTTTGAGCTAGGCCTCAGAGGAAGCATGGAGAAAAGGAGCAAAGGCATCTGGGTATGTGGTAGTTGGAGCAAAAACAAAGGTGGGGAAATAGAGTGTATGTGGAGCAATAGGAAGTAGAGCTGTGGACGGTTCATAACGCGGGTACATAGGAAGAAGTGCAGCGGGGAGATGCTTGGAGAAGTGGGGGCCTTCGGCTCCAGGCTAAGGAGCTGGGGGAACTGATGGGTGTCTCTGAGCAGGGAATGGCCCTGTGGAAGCAATGACTGAGCAATGAACGTCTGCACTGCACAGACAGCAGTGCGAATGAAGCCAGCAGACATGCAAGCACGTTGTAAGGAATCTCAGCCGTGGACGCTCTTCCCCTGTGGAGGGAGTGCCGAGGGGTCCGGCGTCACACAGGGCCTTGATCCGGGATGTGCTGGAAACGGGGCATTGCGTAAATTCCGCAAAGTTCTGCAGTATCTCGGTGTTTAATGACGTTTTCTTTCTTTAAAAAAAATTTTTTTTTTCTTTATTGATTTTAGAGAGAGAAGAAGTGAGAGGGAGAGAGAGAGAGAAACATCGATGAGAGAGAACATCGATTGGCCCCTCCTGCATGCCCCCCACTGGGGATCGGGCCCATAACCTGGGCATGTGCCCTGACCGGGAATTGAACCAGCAACCTCTTGGTGCATGAGTCGATGCTCAACCACTGAACCACACCAGCCGGACAATAATGTTTTCTCTTTTACAAACAAAAAACATTTGCATGACACAGATTTTGGAAAACAGAGAAAATATACTCACACAAAACTCCTGAAAAGCACTCATTATCACAACACCCCAAAAATAATCACTGATGTTTTCAACATTGTATTGTGTGTGCCTTCAGTCTTTTTTCTATGACTATGTATGTATATGATAGTTATTTACATACATAGGTAATCTTAATGTTTGTGTTTCTTTACAAATATGTATAATATTTAATGTTTATATATAAATACATAATTAATAACACGTTTGGGACCACACTGCTGATTTGTAATCTCCTTTTCCCTATTCAAATATTATAAATGGGTTCCCACTGCATCCACTCTTAATACACAACATGATTATTTTAAAACCTTTCCTTTTTATCTCTAAAAACAGTAAGTATCACTTATTTCAGGGAAAATTTCAGAAAATACAAACAAGCCAAAGAAGGAAATAAAAACTTTCCAGATTTCTAAACTAACCAGATACTTTGCTATGCACAGATGTTACTTTGCGTTCCATACATACTTCCCCTCAGAAACGGACTCCTCGGTCAGCAACTAGCATCACGCAGCGCTCAGCCAGCCCGTCCGCAGCACCGTGCTCCCTCCACACAGCTGAGCTCTCTGCCCTGGTTAGTGTGCGCTCTTTCCCTGTATTTAAACATCTTGTCACAACCCCATTTGAATGGCTTTTTAATATTTCATTGCACTTAGGTTCCAACTTCCCATGCCTGGATATTTATATCGTGCCTTACTTTATGATAAACAACGTAGCCATGCTTAGTTCTCCGTAGCTAAATATCTGCAAACCTCTTGAATATTTCTTGTCAGGTACGTTCACAGACATGGAATCAGTGGGCCAGAAGTTGCACACAGTTAAAAAGGCTTCTACAATGTGTTGTCAAATGCCCCCCAGAAAGGGTGTGACTCTGCCAGCCCGCCAGCGTCCTGTGGGAGGGCCCGTATCTGCGTTTCTCATCACCCTGGGCACATTTCTTCACCATTTAACAGTGTAAAGATGGGTTCAGTGCCTCAGCAGGCCGTTCTTAGAGAGCTGGTGTTGTAGAGCATTGTTCACGAGGCTCTCGAATCTTTTCCGCCCACTTGTCCTGCCGTCTGCCTGTCCCCCCAGGGATCTATCTTTCCTTCCTGCACTTTGAGTTCCCTGGATCTCAGTCACAGGACACTTTCATCGTAGGTGCTAAACATATTCTTCACATGCCACATGCCTTTTTCACTTGTTCATGGTTTTTAACATAGAGGATAAAATGCATAAATGTTTCCTTTATGATTTATTTATGCCTCTGGGATTACACTGGAAAAGCTCTTCCTCTTCCCTTATTTACTTATAATTTCTTCTGATTCTTTTCATGATTTCTTAACTTCCATTAACCACCCGAAATGCAATCTGATATGATGTAGACAGATGAAGATGAGATCACCGGTGGGAAAGCATTTCTTCCGTTCCCCGCGTGTCTCGCCTCCCCACGCGCCCTGCCTCCCGTGAGCGTCTCGCCTGCCTGCGCTCGGCCCGGCCTCCGCCCAGCCAGGCCATTGACCCCATCCCACTTCTCCTCGCTGTCTGTTTCGGAGATGGTTTTCCAGGCCTTGGTTAGCCAGCGCCGCAAAATACCTCAAAATGCTCGTAGAGTTGACATAAACATGATAAGCTTCTACATGCGTTATTTTTGTGGTCTCAGTACAACATTTTAGAAATAAAATTGTAGGTTTCGCCCTGGCCAGTTTGGCTCAGTGGTTAGAGCGTCGGCCTGTGGTACAGAGAGACCCGGGTTCGGTTCCCGCTAAGGGCACGTACCTCGGTTGCAGTTTGTCCCCGGCCCTGGTTGGGTCGTGTGGGTGGCAACCACTTGATGTGTCTCTTTCACGTCGATGTCTCTCTCTCTCTCTCTCTCTCTCTCTCTCCCTTCCTCCCTTCCTCCCACTCTGTCTGAACAAAAAATGGAAAAATGTCCTCGGGTGAGGATAAAAAAAATTAAAAAATGGTAGGTTTTATCATTCTTGCTCTACTTCTAATGGAAACAAAGATATGCCAGTGCCTCCAAAACACTTAGCAATTAGAGCAAACAAGTGCTGCTAGTTCTCATTTTTAGACAATCGTGAGAATAAACATAAATGGAACGTGTCTCTTCTTTGTTGTAAGTATCAGAGAAAGTCCTGCTTTCTCCATGAATTACAATCGCGTTATCTTTTTTGAGGAAAATGTGCTGGTGAAGTCTTTTTACTTAAACATACGTTCCCGGCATTACAAGAATGTAATGGGAAGAAAATGCAGTTCAAACATAGAAAAAGGCTAGTTTTCCTGTTATTTTGGTAAACTGTGGGCAAGGCTAACTTCCACAAATAAACATTTGGTTTCTAGTCTAAAACATTGCAGTTACTTGGTGAGGGCAAATATTCGACTGTTGAGTCCACGAGCCGCCAAGACTCACAACGTGCGATGCTGTTTACGACCCACAGGCTGCGGACAGAGCGCGTGGTCCGGCTTTGCGCGCGCGGGGCCACTCTATCTTTAATACTGTGTGGCTTTCAGAATGGCTGCTGGCATGTTCGAGGCTTCCGCCTACCCAGGCAGCCATCAGATTTAGAAATGTGTGTGACTGCCCCTAAATAGCCCAGTCACCTATAATTTTAGTCATTTCCATTTATGTCTCTGGAGAGTGTTGTCATAAACACCTCACCTGGCACTTTCGCATCCCGAGTTCACACTGTAAATAGCTGAGGTGGGGTCTGGTGTTAGGTTATAATTTTGTTTTGCTCTGAAAACAGGGATGGTTTCCTTCCCTTTGTGCAGGGCTGACCCAGAGCACAGACGGGGAGGGGCTGCTGCTCTCCCTCCCGGTCAGTCTCCACCTTCCGGCTCTGGTCCTTCCGCTGCTCCAGGCGGTGCTGGTTCCACCACCGGCGTGATGGCCAGACCACTCTCTGTGCAGAGTGCTCTGATGGTGTTTTCTGAATCCTATACTAGTCACATGTGTTCGTGGGGGAAAGAAACAGTGCTTCATCTCTTCACCAAGGGTGCAAAGTCTATTTCCCCTCGAAGACCAGCTTTCGACCACGGTAGTGCTTATTTGGCATGTTGAGCTGAGAAGGATTCTGAGGCAGGTGTGAGCTCAGACAGGTAAGAATCGAGAAGCCCCGTAGGCTAGCTTCACCTGCAGGGGGTCCAGGATGGAGAAGTGGCAGCACAAATATTGTCATTCCTGCTCCAAACTCCCCTGAATTCTCCTTCAGCTCCGTCTTCATCTTTCAACATCAAGAACACCTTGCTGTTTGCTATTTTTTCTGGGAGCTAAGAGGAAACCCTTTCTGCTGCCAGATTATTCCATTTAGCAAGGACATTCTAAAGAGGACACCATGACCCACCCAGCAGCTCCGGTGACATTCTGGTAGAGTGAGGAAGGAGCGTCTTGGGGACAGGAAGCCTTTCGCTGCTCTTATAAGTGATATTTCATTGTGTATGAGTAAGGCTGTGGGAACCATAAGAATTAATTTATTGCTCAGTTACTTTTTTCTCCCTGTGAGGCAAAGTGATAGCATTGGATTGAGTTTCAAGGTTCACATTTTGGGTATTCTAGCCCTGCAGACACTCAGACATAAGGACACTTCTATTTCCCCTCATGGTGCTCTGTTGCCTGAGATTCTGCCTGTTGTGGAAAACTATGTATTTACTGATAACAAAAATCTATCTATTGACTGGGGAATATTCATTTATTTGCAACAAGCTGGTAGGTTCACCTTTCAACCCCCGTCTACTCAATGTGTGTAGCAAAGGCAGAGGCTCCTTAGGAGAGATGAAGCCAGGCAACTGGAGAGGAAAATAACAACCCAAAGCCACAGATAAGACCCCAGAGTACTACACATACCACAGTCTGAAAGAGTAAAGCATCAACACTTAAGATAATGCTGAACTGGGCAACCAACTTGCCCAGTTTCTTAAGGAAAGTATAATAGATGTTTCTCAGGGTCTTGAGAAAAAAATCACCATGCATCCAAATGTTCATGTCCTTGCA